CCGAAACACCTTTGCCGAATATATGTGAGTATGCATGTAGTAGACGACATTGTCACCGCCGCCGCCGCCGTCGCCGCCGCCGAGGGTTTTGACACTTGACCACCCCACCACACCGCTAGTCTCAGTCATACGAATATTAATTTCAGATTGTTCTTGCAAAGAATTTACCGTTTTACATACACAGTCACATACTTCTATTGTACTAGGTTCGTAATATCAGCGACAGTGCCATCGTATCTGCTGTAAACATGTGTGCGTGTGCTTGTTCTCAAGAAAATCCGATACCAAATTGGCTATACCGGTTCATTCTTTCAGTTACTGAATATGCATGAGCATTTTTGCTATGACCATTAGCTTGTCAGTTGGTTGCCTAAAATGGTGAATGTCAATAAACTTCACACATATTTTTCTCTTATTGTTGCTATTGTTTTTGCCACCCTGGCGTTTCGTACAACCATCGAAACATATGTGTGTATGTATTTACATGTGTTTGTAGGTGTGTGCATATTTATTGTCGTCTAAAATGTCACATTATTAATCGATGATTTTATTGAATGCATAAATATGGTCAAAATATTATTCAACTTTATTACGGCGAGACATTTCCAAAATGGCAAATATTATTTTCTAAGGAAGTTCATTGCTCTTTGACTTCTAAAATGTGGGAAATTTCTTTGACATAGTGTACATACCAGTATCTTTAAATACCACGAGACTTTGTTTCTAATTTGCTTCGAATATTCCACAAAAGCCGTCACTGCGGAATCGCTGGAAACCGTAAAGCCCATGAGTTGGCTAGGGAGGAGTTTGGAGTTGAGTCGGTTCTCCGATGTCTGCTTGCGTTCTGGTGTTGGACCTCTAGTGAGCTCAGCAGGCGGCTAGAACTTGTTCGACTGCGAGATCGTTCTGGTCCAAAGTGAACCGTAAGAGGTCATCCGAACTACTGGGAATTAGCAGTGTCAGTCTCACCATAATTATAGTTGTTCTGACTGGACACTGTCCAATAAGCTTACATGCAGTGCAGCTAAATACTCTGAATTGTATGGAGGAAGGCCAGATGAAATCATCTTGTCACTTCTTTGTCTATTCCCCAACTTTTGCCAGACTGAGATTAAAATATCTCGGTAGACACACTTTTGGCGAACTTATCRAAGTAGCACGGAAGCACAAAACGCTGACCTTAAAAAGTCATCAAACCCTGGCTCTTACCAACGTGAATCTCGCCATAATTATAGGTGTTCTCACTGGACAATGTCCAATAGTACATACGTTGCGGCGAAATATTCTGAAGGACACTCTAAGCGAAAGCTGTATGCAGGAAGGTAAGGTATAATAAACTTATCATTTCCTTCTGTAGTGCCCAGCTTTTGTCAGACTGAACCTGAAATATCTCGGTAAACCCAACTTCGACTGACTAGTGAAGCTGCTGAGAATGATATTAACCGCCTTACTAAATTCGCACAAAACGCTTCGTTGGACGATGGGAATCTGGGGTTCTACATTTTAGGAGTTTATGGATAACACAAAAGACGAACATCTATCCATGTAAGACTCATCTATTTGGGATCAACCCTACGACCTAACCTAACGAATCCACAGCAGAGTTTCATTAATAGAAGCATTTTCTTTCCTACGATCCGGAATCCCAGCTGGCCATGGTTGTTTTGTATTAAATGGCATGGTACATACTGTTTGTAACCTCCACAGTCATTCATGTATAGTGTACTTTTCTTTAACGGAGCCTCAAATGCAAGCACTCTGTAGATTCCAAAATGATTCGGATTCAGCAGAATGAATTCGGAGAGTAATCGTACGCCCTTTGAGATTTGTTTAACAAAAACTCTTGGTAGTATAATCCACAAAATTAACCATCCTTCTTCATTCTCCTTTTCTGTCTCTCAGCAGGTAGAATAACATAGTTCCCATATAATTAGTATAAGTATTTGAGGAGAGGTCTTTTATTCCAGTTATGTTCTGCCGTCGACCGGCGAGGACAAAAGCTTTCGATTCAAAGGTTGATACACTTAATTGCTAAGAGTATCATAGTGATCTGATTAGTTAAAGTAGATGGCTGATCCCTCAAGACGGCTGAGGATCACACTAAGACTTGAATTCAAAGTCCTTCGGGAAGCCAGATCAAAACCTCCTGTGGTTGATAGCTGATCAACAAAACGCCTTGAACCTGTGACAAATCTGTTTATGTGCAAAGGCGGGACATTCCAGAAGGGAGTGTTGAAAAGTGAACATTGATGCGACCTAACTAGTTCTTACAATCGCACAGCTGATAACAGTTAATCAACGTTTGCCGTGGTGGTCTAACGTCCAACCATCCGGTAGTAAAACAAGAAGTCAACGGAGCTAAAACTCGTTCCCAATCTACCTGTCATAGCAAGTTCAGCAGCCTTACTGTTACCTGCAATAGTGTTGTGGAGAGGTACTCAAACTAATATCCCTTCACTAGCCTTAAACCCATAGTCAGAAAGCTAAAGCTTTCTGTCCAATACAATCGGAGGGGATAATCATTGCACACTGGGAATAGTAGACCTTCTGCTGCCTTTAAGGTAGCCACTTTCGTAAAACAATATAGGCCAATTACTCATATTAAATATTCCGTTGCTAGTGACTATCGGGTTGCTTTAATCAATATTAATTACAATGCATTGAGCAATATATATTCCGACATTAGGGACTATCTAATGGTAGTGGACTCAAAGCTTAAGTTAGCCTAATCCAAATGCCTTTACTTAATAGAATACTTAAGTATTACATTGAGAAAATTCTAAGCTCTTAAATACTATTCTTCGTATTCAGTTAGGAGCTTGGGGACGCCTATTGGACCCATTTAATAATGACACAGCATTAAGCAGGCTTTCTGATCGAGTTCACTAATTTTACAGAGCAAATTGAATTTTAAGCGTAGGTGACAGATTACTAAGTGACATTAATAGTCTTCCATCAATTGCTTCGCACGAATCTATCGCTCAAGCCTCGCGGCGACTCGCGGTGTTACCAGCCCAAATTGATTGACTTGAATAAGATCGAATAAAACTCAATTAATCTAACAGCGCATATTTTTAATTTTATTGTCGTTATAAGCACCCGCGAGAGAGGGAAAGGTTTATATTGTGTGGTAAAATTAAACTAAAAGTAAAAGAAAAGAAAAATGAGGAAATTAAAATAAAATGGCGCTACGACTGGCATAAATCACACATGAGAATTACCAAAACAAACATAAACAAGCAGCACGAGACCAGCTGACCCAACAAGACGACACAACAAAAGACAATGACAACTTTTCAAAGCAATAAACATACAAACATTCGGTTGTAAATGAGAGTGTGTCCAACGTGGAGGCTGACTGCCGGCAGACAGACGAGCATCTTCACACGTCTCACCGCCCAGTGCATGAGGAGGCGCTAGGTGCGGGGGAGACCACGCATATGTGCGGTTAGCTCAGCCCAGCAGGTGGGCAGTTGACAGTTAAAATTTTTCTTAGTATGCATTTTAACTTTTTTGTGTGTTCTTTGAGATTTTGTATTTTTTATTGACCGCTTAATGGGGGAAGGCAATGTGTGTTGCTATCGCTGTTGGCAAGGCTGTTTCGTAGACGCCAATTTTATARCCTAAAATGTGGAAATAGTCAGTTGAAATTTATTTATTAAAGCGTATGTGTGTATGTGTGCCTTTAGCGCGACTCACTTCATTATTTTTTATCACTTTATAACGTGGTTATGACAGACTGTGACAAAGCGTAGGGTGCAGCGGAGTAATTTATCGAAAAATAATTGGTTGACAGTGAAAATTATGTGATTAAATGAATGCCATAAGCTGCAGCTGGAATTAGGGCGTGTAAAAGTGGAGAGGGAGTTCAATATTCCGACTTGAGTGCATTGGATATTGACTATTGTCTTTTATTAACTGTTTTATCTTAACTTTTAATAATAGAATCCAAAAGTAGTAAGAGAAGTATAATAAAACATCATATGATTTATTAAGGTTGCGTAATAAAATAGGTGTTGTATTTTTTATGAGTTTCTTCAAAACATTACCAAATATAGAAATAATTTTCCACAAAGGAAACAAATAAAATACCTTCTTTATTGACCGAAAAGTTCTCGTCGACCATGCCTCTGCACTATATAGCAGGACAGAAATAAGAAGTAACTTATAGAGGCTGACCTTTGTTCGTCGTCCTCAATCCGAAGTAGCACCCGTTGGCAAGAGTTATCCTGCGTTGGATTTCAGACATAGGAGGCTGACATTATTGTTGGTTTTAATAATACTGATTCCAATATAGACGAAATTATCAACGACTTCAAAGTTATGACTGACAACAGTGACGTGGGAGCCAAGTCGCGAGTGCGACGACTGTTTGTTTGGTGACAGGAGATATTTCATCTTATCCCCGTTTACTATCGAGCCCATTTGCTTCTCTTCCTTATACAGTCTTGAGAAATCAGAACTAACGAAACGGATATTGTGGCCTATACTGTACACTCGCGATTCAGTTTGCAGCTCGAATTCTTTTCGGCAGCAATAGATTGAAAAAGTCGCACGATAGGGAGTCGCCTTGTCTGAAACCTCGTCTGATATCGAACGGATAGGGGAGATTCTTCTCGATCCTGACGGAACTTTTAGTGTTGATCAATGTCAGTTTACACAGTTGTATTAGTTTTGGCGGCCAAAGCCAGATATAGAATCATAAAGGCAGCTCACTTTCGTGCTTTCAAAAGCAGCTTTGAATTTTACGAAGAGATGGTGTGTGCCATTCCGCTTTTCACGAGTATTTTCCAAGATTTGGCGCTTGGTGAGCATCTGGTCAGTTGTTGAGTTTTCAGACCTAAAGCCAAACTAATAAGGTCTAATCAGTTTGTTGACGGTGAGCTTTAATCTTTCAYAAAACAGATTGAACCTTATATGCGCTATKRRGARGSYTWWYCCACAGTAGTTKGCGCAGATTTTTSGGTCTCCCTTTTTGTGCATTGRGMAGGCAARTACACTTAAATTCCATTAGTATATCCATCTGATCAAATTTGATGCGGACTGGTCCATATGAACTGCGCGCGCAAACCGCATCGAGAACACAAAAAAAACATGAACTGGTGCAGCCTTCTTAAGTTTTATTTGTTTTCGTCGATTTTTAGCTTGAAATTTTATGTTTCCAAAGGAATCACGGATAAAGAATCGTTGAAAACATTGCAAACGTATTTTGGATAATCTATGTAAAGACGATAAGATCGAAAAAGTTAAAAAATTAGTGGGTTTCAAGCACGTTTTAACATCAGAAAGATACAGAGGATCTCAACACCTTTTATGGATCAACTCACCACGTTTTGGTTAATATTTGGGATATAAAGTATGTCAATGCTAGACTAGTACTTAAACTTCTGAATCTTTTGCAAAAAATGCGTCGCGTAGAGGTCGCAAAAGAGATGCCTGTCAACTTGGCTGAGCACCCTTCATTTATCAAAGACATCATTACCATTGAAGAGACATGAATTTATTAATATGACTCTAAACTGTCCAAGAATCTATTGAAAAATCGTCGAAAAATGAACGGAGAGAAAAAAAAGAAAATTCGTTAAATGACATTACAGCCGAAGCTTATCACAAATGTTTGGAGAATTGAATTATTGAAGTCTTAGTATTTTTTTTGCCRGKYCSGGKYMAAMTT